CGGCCTGTTCTGGTACTTGTGGCATCATCACTGACATTGCCACTAGTCTCAGGTATCTTGGCGTCAATACCAGTGACAGCCTTGATGCTGGCTATTGGACTGCCATCGTCAGCCTCACACAATTATTTTATTGCTGCTTTTCTAGAAGGTACCTCACCCAGGTTGCTTTCTGCGATACTTTTACACTGCACGTCTGAAAACAAGTGAGGAGAATGTCACAAAAGTGGCCATGGCTGCAAGAAACTGCCACTTATTTAGAGACAGTGATCTTAGGAACTTGTAAATTCCTTTGTAATGTAGCCAGCTCACTACTTTGCCTACTTCTATGGTGGCCCCCAGCAGCAGATGTTTTCTGGAACACGTAAATATCTCAAGTAGCAGCTGTGCAGCAACTGTACTCAATGTATATATGCAATGCATTATTAAACAATTTTTAGGATGTTTTGGAATAAAATTGTGCACGTATCATGTAAACACACGTAACATATTTCGCTTTGAAACAGTATGGGATCATCCACCATCAAAGAAAGCTAGAAATAGAAACATTGAGAGACTGACTTCACGCAGCATTTCTTTTTATTTCTTTTTGGAGGATGTCAATGGGAATGTAAAAGCCGGTCGAAAGTCAGGGTGACGAATACCTACACTACGTTTATTAGAACAGGGCATTTACAAGATTTGTACCACTTAAAGAAAAGTAAACTTTTTTTGTCGTATTGCATTCTTCCTAGAATCTCTACTTCGCGGCAGCCAAGTAAAGATTCAGCCAACTTCGCAAGCTGTTGCCAGAGCAACAAACGCGAAATTTAAAACGCTGCTAGGCGAAGTCAGCTAGTATGAACCACGACCAAGCCGGCCGTGCAATGAACTCGTTCGAGGTACGCAGTACTCGTTCGAGGTGCGCAGTGCTGCGACGACCCACACACACAAAACGAATACTAGGCGGCCGTCCGCTCCGATAATTGTTTTGCGTGCTCCTGTTGGCTATGCCCACCGTTAAAGTTATATCTTACCCAAAAATGTTCCTTGAGGTTTCGGTATTGTGATGGAGCGCGACGTATATCTTGAGGAAACGGAGGGCTTCTCAAATCGCCCGTAGGCCGGTGCAGAACCCGCCGTTCCGCTTCTGCTACCGAAGACCATTCGAGGTGCTCGTCTCACATAGTTTGAGTACCGACATCTTGCGGGACAGGTCGCCTTTTTTTGTCGGCAGGCGCTCCTTCCGATATCGTAAAAACGCGTAAACGAGGAGCGCATCGCAAGTGGAACCAACGAACCGAGAGCCGACCGAGGCGAGCACGCGACAAGTTCAGCGGTTCAGAGCCATTAGGCCTACTGGGTAACTGGAGTTGCTGGAGTCGTGAGTAGGTTAAACAATTAGGAACGTAAAGTGCGTGCGAAATACGCGTTAAAGAAATTATTTTCGTAATTAAAACGATGTAAAAATTGTTTCCGTAATATATGCCTTCTTTTTTTAAAACAATCCCGTAATATGTGTCGAGCGCTGCCATCGAGAGTACGCTTTGCGAGCCGTAAATGAGTTTGGGGAACTCTGTTTACCCGAAATGGCATTTACGTTAAATGCCATTTGAGTTGCCGTGTGGCAGTGCCTAAATGACATTTACACTGAATGTCATTTGGTGTAAATGTCATTTTAGCTGCCGTCTGACAGGGGTATTACACCCCTTGCCTCTTAAGCGACACCCCAAAACTTCATTTCGACGTACAGCGCCCCGACGTTGCACAGGCAGCCCCAACGTTTTACGAGGTGCTTGAGGACGGTGAGATATACCTCATTAAATAGCTAAAATACGTATCAAAGGCTACAGAAAAGAAACAATGAGGCTTTGTAGTAATACCAAGAAAACCTCGATTACTTTTTTTGTAGTCAGAAACACGTACATTAGCTATTTCAATAAGTTGTACCACTCGGCTATCAAACCGCCTGTGAAAGTTGGGAACGACGGTTCGACATCAGCGCGGTACGTCGAACTGTAGTTCTGGGGTGTCGTATATTTGACAAGGGGTGTAAAAATATACCCCTTTTTTTCTGTGAGTGTATGTTATCGGAGAAATACGCACCTAAAGTGTCTCACCATATATTTGCGTCCGTGTGCTTACTTTCTAGAACAGCGGGCAGGGGGTGCAGCAAGCATTTGAACTCCTCGTAGAGACTCAACGAGATCTCCTGCGGCGTGCCGCAAGAGACCACGGGGATGCGGTTCGGCGGTCGGCCTCCTCGCCCGGTTCCTTCTAGCGTTCAGATCTCCACAGTTCGAACCGAAACAACACCACTCCTCTCCGCGGCCAACTGGTTTGAAATTTTAACTCGTGCAGTATGCAGAGCGCAAATAGATTGGTCGCTTCGTCATTTCAACTTTTTGTTCATTTTTGCTTATACAGACCCGTCAAGTTCAAAGATATGCACCCCTGCAGGGCATTCTCCTATCCGAGCTATTCTAAACAATTTGATATCAAAAAAAGCCTCACGGGCTACTTCTATGCGTGTCCTGTGTTGACCGTATCGTCACAAACGGGTACCCGTTTCAAACGGGTGCCCGTATCGCATGATACTATGTGACCTGAGCGACTTGAGCAGTTTGCACTCCTTTCGAAGTTCAAAGATATTTTTAATTTAGTTTTTCTTTTTAGGATTGTAGCAACGCCTTGAGCCTTTGTAGCTGGCCAGATAGATTTAGGAGAGAAGAAAAACAAAAGAGCGCTAAAAATGCGGTAGGGAAATAAAAAAAATACACAAAAAGAGCGCTGACTTTTGACCGAATGATATTAATCGAAAGTAAAAATGCAACGCAGCCAGAGACGCGCCATTTTTTGTAAGCAGTAAAATCTTTCCGTAATCGTATAGTCATCCAAACTTTTAAAAGTTCAAGATCGTTTTGAATTAGCTTTCGACCCCCCACGGCTGGAAAAGTCAAGGCTACTGCCCTCCAGCGGGTGGTCGCTAAAATACGACCAACCGCATTCACCCTCTCTCAAAGACAGGGTCAGCGAAAGTAGTCATTACAACTTATAAGGCTTTCGAGAGGTCCTTCCTTTTAATTGGATTTAGCGTAATCATAAGAATTATGTGCCTCGAAATGTATATAGTCATCAACCGCTGCACAACTTCCGTGTAAAACTACACTCTTAAAAAAAGAGATCTATATAGTCCCCCCTAAAGAGGCAAACGGTCTTGTAACCTGTGTTTCTTCAGAAAGTTCCTCCGTCGCCTGCTTATCATTATGGCGGCCCCGAATCCAGCAAATCAAGCTCAATAAGGCTTAACGAGGATGATACTTCTATTGTACGCAGCGAAAGGAGCCGCCAATAAAAGCGTAACAGGAGCTTTCCCTGAACTGCATTTATTTCCGAAGCCAGCTTCCCACGCCGGTAGGAAACTTCCGTTTCGAAAGCAGTCACTCAATCTTCTCGTCTTCAAAACTGCGATGTTAAACGAAGACAACCGATGCCAAATTACTTCGAGCACTTTACGTCTTACCTTTGCTATCCTTCAAGCCGCAATTCCTTCGTCAGCACCACACACCACTGACGAGTGGTAAACCATTCGCAAAACCAAAAGCCGCTTTCCAAATATATATCAATTTCGAAGCAGCCTACGTCGCTAATTCGTACATGCTACCGCGAAAAGTAAAGGAAGGTTAAAGTGCTTGCCACGAGATGGCACGGTCAAGCAGTGTAGTTGCAAGTCGCTAGGCTAGGTACCGCTAAATACCACCTAATTCATGTGATAAAAACGATTTACATTTTCTCACGCCACCTTTGCATTCGGGCACCTATATTTACTTTATTAGTACAACGAGCATCAGGTGAATATATTCAAAGAGCATATTCATACAACACTGCCATCGCGAGGTTGCTGCTATGTTGCTGACACGCAGAAATGCAAAGCCCCGTTGATTGCCGATTGGCACTCGGCAGTAAAACCTGCTTGTCTTCGACGCAGTTTCCGCGGTTTCCCTAACGTCCCTAACGTGACTCCACAACTCGGAGGTGGCCACCTTAGCCCAGTGTATGTTCCGCTTCCGGCACTGCTCCAGAACTTTGCAATTTCTAACTGATGTTTTTGCTCGTTTCACAAAATTTTTGGTAAAAACGCCAATGCAACCGCGATGTTCTGCTGGTGGAATCAGAATTGCAGTCGGCCTTTGTTGCCGCTGAAGCTCAGTCAACTCAACAACATTTATTAAACAACGCGCGCGACGTGCTTGAAAAACGAAACCGAAGGAAGATGAGGTGGGTCGGCGAAACCTTTTTCCCGATTGCGTGGAGGACAACAACGTGTCGTTTAACCCTTTTTTTCGTCTCCGCTTGGGGCGTGTCAGTAGAAGGGAGGAAACTGCGCCATTGTTACCTTTTTTCTTCCTTTTTTTTCTGAGAATATAGTACTGTTTGGATTGTAGTCGCCTGCAATTCTACTTCAGTTTGTGACAGGTTAAAACTAAAGTGGGTGGAGTTTCCTTTGAATTCCTTTTCGTTAACAGACTATGGATAGTTTTATTTTGTTTTATCATAAACATGTCTTGAATTTATGCCCTTGGTAAAACAAAAACACTTTACAAAATAAATTCACTTTTGTTTCTTAGTTCTACTGAACAAAAGGTGCACTTGAAGTGTATTTAATATACTTATGCGTACATTTTACATAGTTTCACTGTACACCGTCTTTTGGAAGTGCGGTTCACGTTCCGACCTGCATTGCAACTAAAGTGTGCATACTAAAAGCATATGTTTATTATTCTATTAGGAAACAAAATATCTGCTATATGTATATTTTGCAAAGTGTTTCATAAAAATGCACACTTCGTACTATTTTGAAGTATTGCTTTTTACCGAGGGCATCCACCTTTCAATGTTGAGTTCAAGAAAAGCCAAGCTGCTTTCACATTGATGACTGGAGATGATTGAAGCGTTTCAGGAAGGCTTCAAGTAGAGTGAGAAAAACCAATAAATTGCAGGTTGTTCATAAATAAAATATTTACCTGAGAGAGTGAGGTCCAACGACGCTGACAGAATAACCACCAACACATAGAGCCACAACATGTCGCTCGGAAACTCCTTCTGAACTTCTTGCACTCAGTGATATACCCCACACCAAACGTCGGACCTTTCAGTGAACTTTCTCAACAGGCGCGTTCGCCATGCAAGAACAAAAAATGACGTCAGCCAAAAAGCTACGTCTTTTGTTTGTTTGTCTTCTTTCTTTCTATTTTTTCTTTAGTTACTTATTTATTTCGATGGTCATTGAACTTTGTCCACGAGGCAGTCATATACGAATTCTAGCAACAGCTAGCTTGTAGGTACTTATATTTCGATGAGCAAAATATATCCTAGGATTCTACTCAAGCAAATAACAACCAGCTAAACGTCAGCAAAAGTCAACGTAATCTCACAACTTTCGTTAGACTAAAGGTGATGGGAAGTCCTGCAGCTGTTTAAAAAAATATATTTTATTCCTTCACTAATGACTGTTGTGACGTGCAAACTTTAAGGTCGCTAAACTCGGTAAACACAAAGTTGGGGCCAAAGTCCGCAGAGCTTGCCCATTGAACTCTCGCGATGATGGCGTCATGCGGGACGACATGTCAATCAATCAAACTCTCTCGGTGGTCAAATTCCAGCGAGATTGTGAAGCACAAAGTTGTTGCGAGCTTCATTAGAGCGCCAGCCGATTGAATGGTTGCACTGATAACGTCGCGCCCGCCTGTCCCTACATCCCTACGCCGCGTTAGAGTCAATGCTCTCTAGATTGTCCCTAGGTGGGCTGTGAATACTCTGAACATTCTTGTCGCAAGATCGTCGTATGTGGAAGTTATTGGTGACGACAAAATGAGGTTTCACAACTTTCGGAAGGACTTATTTGAGGCCAAAATCTTCGCATTGCACTCTAAAAAAAGGGTGTCATGGAGTACCACCCCCATACGTGGTGTAAGTGCTTGTCGCATATACTACACCCTTTGGGGGAATACTTGTGCACCCCAAATATGGGAGCATGTGTAAAGCCATTGGTGTGGTGTATATGTACACTTTTTTCTACAGAAATCTTACTCGAAGGGAACATAGGTGCATGCACCCCATTCAATGGTGTACGGCTACACCTCTTTCTACACCCAATGAAAGGAAACACAGATGCACCCCATTCGAAGGTGTACCATTGCACCGCTTCATAAACCCGCCTCACTCAAAGGAAACACAGATGCACTCCGCTTCCCCCCGCCTCCCCCCAATAGTGGACCCCATTACTCCCCTTTCTACATCTACTGCTCTCAAAGAGAACACAGGAGCACCCCGTTCAATAGTTTACTGCCACACATTTTCTACACCCACTGAATTCGAAGGAAACACAGATTCACCCAATTCAAAGGTGCACCGTCACACCACTTTATGCACCCGCTTCATAACTAACTTCATAAACCTATTTAAGACATCAAGAAAACCCTTAAAAAATGCATGCGCCCCAGTGATTGCAAAAAGGCAGGTAAACGGACACACTAAATTGTTTTCAAATCTCATAGAAGTTTATTAGACAGCCTATTCCGTAAACAAGTACAAACTTGCAAGCAATCCGTGATATGTGAAGAGGTACGAAGAAGCTGTTACAGAACTGAGAGGATTACTAAGCAAACAAGAACCGGGGGTGAGTCTAAGGTAGTGTCTATTCTCCCCGTAGCCGGCAGAATTATTTCCACGAAATTCCACCGGCAGTCGCCATCCATTCATCGAACAGCGTTTCATCGACAGCTCAGATGAGCTTTCCTATATTAGCTTCTCTCTTTTTTTTTTTCTTCTAATGAGCCGCCCCAGAATGTATCCGTGAAGTGACGTGTACCGGTGGGACAAGTGGGTTAATATTTTTGTAATGAGCCGCCGCAGACTGCCGCCACGAAGCGGCGTGAACGGATTGGCTGGGTCGGTGAGCACACACCTCAGAGATACACGCACGACAAAATGTCTCTACAGCGTGCATTTCGCGTAACGAGTAACGATTAAACGTTAGCGTCGATGAAACGTGTCTACAAAACGTGTATCAACGAAAACGTGCTTTCACAAAACACAGGGAGAATAAGAAGGTTAGTATTCTACCTGCAGTTGTCACATTTATTTATTTATTTATTTATTTATTTACCCTCAGGGCCAGAGGCGTTACAGAGGGGAGTGGGTATTAAAAAAAGTACACTTTGACCAAGCACAAGCTGATCGAGGCGCGTGACTAGCGTGGCGGTGCACAAATACTCCGAGAGGTTTTTAAGGGAGAGGAGGATGCTCATTGCCGGTGTACAAGTACACTGGCTGGGTAATGGATGGTGCATCTTTCAGGAAAAGTGTGCATGTGCGCCTGATGCACCCGACTACACCCTTGTTTTCTTAGAGTGTGTAGTATTAGTGGCACCTTAGGAATATATAATTTTATTTCTACCATGGTCCATCTTTCCATCTTGAATTCATGGGCACCATAACGGGGAATCGTAACATACCTGAAGATTGTAATAGTGCACGATTCGAACCGCGTATATCCCTTAAACATTCGTTTGTTTCCATAAAAGCTCTTTATTTCTCGGGATAAAACGGAATGTCCCCGCAAACTTACCTATGTTATGCCAAGCTACCGCGGCTTACAAATGTCACTTTTCATTTTAGTATTTGTTCTTCGCGTGTTGGGCATTTCGTACTACCACTATTTCTTTCCTCTCAGTGCACACACATATAAAATGTGAACACGCGCATGTTTCTCTGATATTTCTTGACAAAAATGTTTCAGCGTTCTTTATAATTGCAATTTTTTGTTTGCTTCTGTAGTCATAACCCACGTACGCACCTTGTTTACAAGTGCGATGTGCAATTATGATATTAAAATATACCAAGAAACCATCCCTTTCGACCGTTTTTTCAATTGTTAAAAATCTAAAGTTACGACATTCTACAGCAAAGCACTAAACATGTTTCTCTCGTTGTGTTTAAGATAATTTTTCTTTTCTGACTCAAATGAGAAACTTCACTGTTGGGTTTCATTGCAACCTTGCGGCGGATGTTTATCTGGCGAAATTGTTTATGCCTCTTACGAGCGCAATAATCCTATTAGAAAAAAATCTAATGCCATGTATAACTTTTTTAATACTCACATCCGAAATTATACGAAAAAATATAAGGTGGACATGAGTTATATATTTGTTTTATTATCTTTTCTTTTCTCGTATAATTGTTCGACGAATTCCTTTCACTTCTTTCACGAGGGAAGTTTCGCTGAAAATGCAACCTTCAGCGACTATATTTTAAGGGCCGCAATTAGGCTAAAGATTCACATTGTTTAAACGGTGATGATATATTAGAGCGTGCGAAATTACATACATCGACGGCGATAATACGGGTTGTCATTTCTGTATGAAAATTTGCTCGGCTTAACTGATTCAAAAATCTCTCCATTGAACTAAATATTAGGATGCTTAAAGCATTTAAGGTTGAAAGGAATTTCTCATACATCCAGAGCTTGTAGATGATTGTGCCCAATGCCTAGATTATTGAAAAAAAAGTCAACGAGAGGGAGAATCTAATTAACGTAAGTCTTCAGAATATCAGGGTTAAAAACCTCTCCGAACTGAGGCAGTGTTGATATGGGTAGTCATTTTTTTTTATTCAAACGCGTACAAATTTGTAATATTGGCACGCCTCGTTATACATTCGCCAGCGAGTCGCCTTGTTTTAAAGCACGCCACCGACATTTAGCGTCACTCTAAACTTCTTCAAAACATTATTGTAAATGTGCGAGCTATAGAGATTTATAAGGAACACAAATTTTATTCAACGCATGGTAAGTAATATTTTTTTTTGTTCACTTGTCGTGTACCTTTCTCCTTTCCCGGGACGTACTACACTAGCGTATGAAACGTGACGCGCGCATTTTTAGAGCGCAGATCTTAGGCGCCCGTTTCCGGCTTGAGCGGCGTCGCCGTCGCTGTCGCCGTCAGCGTCAGCAGCGCTGTCGGCGTAGCCGCGCGTTGCATTATGGAACGTTTCCCATAATGACGTCACGCGTGACATCACGTGTGACGTCACGAGAGTCACGAGTGACGTCACGAAGATCCTTCGTGAAAGTCATGACCTTCACAGTTAAGGTCATGGGAAAGTCATGACCTTCACGGGTGACGTCACGAGGGTCACTAGGGTCACGAGCGACGTCACGGAGGACGAGGAAGGGAACAGGAGGAGGAGGGGTGGAGCAAGGTAGGAGGAGGGAAGGAGAAAGAGGAGGAGGAGGGAGGAGGGTGATGGAGGAAGGAGACGAGGAGGAGGACAGGGTAGGAGGAGGAGGGGCATAGCCTTTTCCCGTACCCTTCCCTCCTCCTCCTCAAGACCTGCGCTCCAATTCGGCATTACAGGGAGTTGCAAACGTCTCATTTTTTCGATCATTATTTGATTTGTTTGTATTACTGCAGTGTTTATCAGTTTTTGTCAATAGTCAATGACAGCTTAAAAAATGCAGAACATTTGGGTCCCCAGCATCTTAATTATCGCTCTGGAGTTCACAAGATTAGCCATAGATGGCAGTATCGGCAGTAATCACAATACTCCTCGACATGAATGTCCGGAAATGCGGCGACCAGTGCTTTTCCGGAGAAGCGATTTGACTGCGTCCGAGTCAGAACAAAGAAATTTAGGCATTTTCTCAACCTTGTGCAAAATGGATACGGGAAGGATGGATCCCGTTCGCCGAAGGTCAAATAAGGGGCAGTTCAGCACATCTCACAACAGTCGTTACGACTTCACGTAGAAACGAGCTGCTGTGGCCACAGCAACTGACGTGGACGTCATCTCCAAAATCAGGAGAACATATCGCTTCAATCATTAACCGATCAACTTCACCATTGAATGAAGAGTAGACATGAGAGCCGTCTCTTTTAGTCCTGCCTTAAGAATCTCTATATTATGCTCAACACTTCCGTCGTCACGGGCAGGAATTATTGCATGAACAGTGTTCATAGCAACTGAGAAGAAAAAAATTCAAGGGTTTTTAATGACTGTCAAGGTCCTATCAAAGAATTCTGGAG